GTTTTCCAAATTTTTTGTCAGTTTTTAAGAGCCAGTTTTTGAAAATTTCACTTATCATCCATGCTTTTGTGTTTGATATTCCAATGATCTAATTTTAACATTTTTGAAGCATCATGGGTTGGCTGACTTCTCAATCATCAACAAAAGTAATTTTTTGGATCCATCCATGTGTGTCCAATTAAAAGCATTATTCTTTTCTTGCTATGTTTACCACCACTGCAACATTTGTCTTTGGAAGCTTATGTTTAGTATGGTGTGCAATTATAAAACAGTCCAGTTTCATCAACATTAAAAATGCATTTAAATCATTTAAATCTCATCTCTATTTGAATCATTTCTGGGAAATCACTTTTCTATCTATCAGCCACCAGTATGTCAACAGCTCCAGTTTCTCAACAGTTTTGAAAGAAATGCTATTTCTTTCCTTAAATCCATAAAGTTAACCAGTGTTGATTTTAAAACCACTCTTTCCTAGGCCACAAGCAAATTTTCAGCTTTAGCTCTAAAGGTGAATCAACTTATTGGAATGGGTCTTGTCTTGTGCCTGTTTAAACCATTTTAATTATCACTTGTCAAGAACTGTGTTTTCTGGTTGCATTCTTACTCTCTTCCTATCTTTACCACTCTGTTAAATCACACTGTTCAAAATTATGTCCTTATTTTTAGATAGCTGAACAGTGTATTTGGTGGCATTCCAGAGTCTTGGATTTCTTTTTTTTTTAATTCCTTTTCACTTCATATATAACTGCTGCTTTTTTTGGCAAAAGTTAATGTTTTGTATTGCAAACACTGTTTTTGACAGTAAAACACACAGAATGCAATGGAAATTGCAAAGTAAACTTATTGTAGCAGCAATACTTTTCATCTTTTAGGAGAAACTTTTATCATACAGGCATTAAATTACGAATAAATGTCACTAGACTGACAAGCGCTTTCGATGATAATTATTTTCGTTTTCCTCATGTCATTTTTTTCTTGGTGCCATATCAGATTTCTGACGTCTGCGACACCTGGCGCAGATTAGCAAGTAGTTAATAATACGCCAAGGTGTTACTAGGGAAGGTTAGTACCCAGAGTGGTTTCCCGTTGCCTTCTCTGGGGCGCGATGTTACGCGAGGGGAAAGAATGCCTTCTGGAAGGCCTTTTATGGGGAACTGGCCTCCTATTTAGTTGTTATCGGCAAGGAGAAAACCCAGAAAACTCCAAGCAGCCAGCCTGTCCTATCGCGGCGCGAACCCATGACCGAACTCCCAGTGTTTAGGGTATGAAGACCGCTCGGCCACTGGTGGGCACCCTCAGGTCATTAAAAATGGTTAAAAAAGGTAATTTAACGCCTGTATGATAAAAGTTTCTCCTATTAAATGGTTGGCGTACTGTCCACTTTTGTATTATAGATAACTTTTCATCTTTGTTATATATAATGAAATAGCTCTCTAATACTGTATACAAAACTTGTAAAAAAAAAAGATTGCAGTAGTTATCAATTCCTTCTCCCAAATACAAGAGTAGACTGGTCAGTCACGGTGACAAGTGATAAGACAATGTCATAAACCTAGAAATATCTCTGGTTTGGTAATGGTCACTTTGAATTAAACAAAAAAGTTCAAATTGCATGTGATTTTTTTTTATTTTTATTTAAATAGAGAATTCAATGGACCAAGGAAAATATTTGAATTAGCCAAGTTTGATTATCTTGTGTATATATAGTAATTTGTCTATTTATTCACTTTAACACAATTGAAAAATTTCTAAATCTTACAATAAATAATCAGCTTTATGGAAATAAATGACAGTTACATCAAAAAGTGTTTTTTTTTTTTTTTTTTTTTTATCAATAACCTTTTACATAGATGTATGTTTAAAAAAACTTTTTAGTTAGAACTTTTCTATTCCAGTAATAGTAAATTTGTATTTGATTAAATGTGTATTTGAAAATTTGGAACAGATCTCTATTTTAAACTGTTTTTTATGGCTTAATTTATGTGGTTTTCATGGAACCAAGTAATTTGTTTCATGAAACCACATAGTGCATAAATGGAAATATTACTGTATTTAGCTATTAAAAATGTTAAAATTTTATTGTTTTATTTTAATACTGTACTAAGAACTATTATAAACTTTAAATGCTAATATTAATATAGTCCTTATGATGGGTTTTTGTACTTTGCTCTGATTTCTTAAGTCCTAGAAAAACTTATTATGTAATTTAAAAAAATATAATTTACTAAATTATTTTTTTATTTTTTATCTGTGTGGTAATTATATGGTAATTATAACTAATGAAAAGAAATATGAAGAGAAAGAGTTTACTATTTTCATTGTAAATATTATTTGAAGTAAACATTTTTTTATTTTCAGCATTTATTATATGTACTGTACTTTATAGTAAATCTTCTAAACATTTCTTAATTGAATATATAACCTAATTATTATTTGAAAACTTACATTTTTAACACTGTGCAATATTTATTATTTTTGTTATTCTTAATCTACTCATGCTTGCTTAGAACTCATAATAGAATTACTTTTTAGTAAATATTTATTATTTTTATACATTACTAAAAATTTTTTTTAAATGCTTTGTTGTTAAAGTTGCCGTTATTTCTGTACATGATGGCTTATAAGCAGACTTACTAAGCCTGAAAAATTTCATCCAAAACTTAACGTTGATTTATATGGCAAATATAAAGTGCAATCTTTACCACAAAATGGTAGTTGAGTGGAACAGTGCTTCTAGCAATCACTATGCACTATATTCTGTATCTTCAGCAAGTCACAAATATTTCCAACTAAAATTTGTGTTTGATGAACTTATTTAACTAAAAGATTTAATATAATAATAAAAATTCAGTGTAAGTGAACACTTCATTAAATACTGTTTCTAACAGCAATCATACAATAATGATGCAAATGCATAAGCAGTGATTCTATCACAGGCCTACTTGATATAGTGATACAGTACTTTGAAAGTACTATGCTTTGTAAACTGTAGTATTTTATTGAAGGTATTCATTTTGGCTTAACTGTATTTATTGATAGATCTCGTATACAATGGAATTCTTACTAAGATAATATACTAAAGATCTTTAATGGCTCTTTGTGTCCTATGTATCATCTATATAATATATATCATATATTAAGATTCATTATTGTTAGTGTTTCAATGAAAATGACCTTTATATGCTTTTGGCATAGGATACCATGTACTATATTCACATTTCAGTTCCAGCCTGTATGGTTGGAAGTTGACTTATAAAGTGTGGATCTGAAACAGAATTTTGAGCTGGAAATATCGATTAACTTATATACCCCTGCAATAAACCAACTTACATGCTACTATATACTGTAAATTTCCAGAATACTTATTGTAATCAAAACTGTATGCTATGTTTTGATTGGTTATTTGTAGTATGATGTGATTAGTTGTTATTGTTGACTTTTATTTGGGACTTGATATTAAAAAAATTATTCAATTTGTTTATATCTATAAAAATATGAGTTTGAGACATTAACAGAATAATTTAAACATCAGAAACATTTAAATAAGTTTTAAAGATATTACAGCATTAATTTTGTTAATGTTGTAATTATTATAGCATAAATTACCTACAAATCAGTTCCACTTGGTTATAAAATTGCTATTATGTTGATATATATATTTCTAATTATATCATCTCTAAACCTGAATTATTTGTTAAACCAAACAAAGTGCCAAATTATTAGGCTGTTATATGGCTAAGTTATTAGAATTATTAGAAACTAATTAATTTGTCTAGAGGTAGGTAGTTATGCCACTATCTTGTGTTAATTTTAATAATTATAATAAGTTAATTTTAACTTAGAATTTTCCAGAAGGAAAGAATTGGTTCAAAGTGGAACTTGAACTCTCAACTCTTACTTATCTTGTGGATACATTGCCAATTATGCTGCTGGGCCTTTGTCTGATCTTTGTTTCCAGAACTATTAATTTAGATATAACCAATGAATCTACACAGTGAATGGAAGTTGTGGGTTCATGTCCTGCTTTGGGCTGATTCTTCTCTTTTAGAAAATTCTAAATTAAAATGAATTTATTTATAAATTAATTATTAAAATTAACACAAGCTGGCATCATAACCACCTATCTCCAGACAAATTAATAAGCTTCTAATTATTAGCTCTATTATATGGTACATCATACCAAATGAAGTGCCATATAATAGCCCTATACTTTGGCACTTCATTTTATATAATTAGAAATTTATGTTCAGAAAACACTGATTAAAATTTTTCTCTTCTTTATGAATTGTTAGAGAAAATCACTAATGTTTTTTACTTAGATTACAACATTAATTATTGGTAGTAAAGACAATGTTTTTGGTTGTGCAATAGTTTTTAGTTTTCAGTCTTTCCTATGCTATATAATAATAGTAGCATAAAAATCAAAGAAATTAGATAAAACAATCTACACAAATAATTAAGCAACAAAGAGAGTAATTATTGATTTAAATTAGAAAATTAAAAATGAATTTAATAATTAATTACTCATATCCTTATATTTTTACAGCATCAATTCTGAATAAGGATTATTTAAACAACAAAGAATTTTAATAACATTTAATATATTTATTTTAAAAAAGTAAAATTGTGTTTTTAATATTATTATTTTAACACTTCTTAACATGATATGAAATAATGCTTTGCATCACTTTGTATGAACTCTGTCTTATAAAGCTGTATAAAACTCAAAATATTTATTTAATAATTTAATGAATTGTTTTAGGCTTTATATCTTAATCAAATACTTTTATAACATTTCAGGTTTTGAAATAGAATAAACAGACAAGAAATGTTAATAATTAAATTTAACAAAATTAATCAATAAAAATTAATTTAATTATACCTTGATAAAATAGTATCAGAATAAATTGAAAATTAATGAAATTAATTTAAATGGAAATTTGAAATAATTTATGTAAACTTACTGGTATAAGAAATGCTAAATATTTTATATGTTTCAGAAAAAGCTACGAGTGAATTGAATACTGCTGAAGATTGGAGCCTTATTATGAATATATGTGATAAAGTAGGCACGACAACAAATGGACCCAAAGATTGTTTTCGTTCAATAATAAAACGTCTAAATAGTCCAGTGCCTCAAATTGCAATGCAGGCATTAACTCTTTTAGATGCTTGTATTCAAAATTGTGGAAAAGCATTTCATCTTGAAGTTTGTTCTAGAGAATTTGAAACTGAAGTTAGAAAATTAATTGTGAAAGCTCATCCAAAAATAGTAGAAAAATTGAAATTATTAATAAAAAAGTGGGCAGAAGATTTCAAAAGCGATTCACAGTTGAGTCTTATTCCTTCCTTATATTGCGCTTTGAGGAATGAAGGTGTTGACTTTAATGTTGAAGAAACACCTAAAAAGAGTACTTTACAACAGGAGCTGAGTGCCAAAGGCATGCATGGGTTTTTGACACTCAGCTCCAAATTTTTTTTAAAACTGTATTCTGATTAAAAAAGGAGTAAATAAAAGTATGCATTCTAATTTGATGTGGAAAAAAGAAAAGTTTAAAAGAATTCCTATACAATTAAAATATTTTATATGAACACATGCAAAAGATGCTTAGATATAGCAAAAAACATTTTACAATTAAAAATACTCAGTAACCATGAATACCAGTACATGCTAATCATATCTGTATATATTGGTACTATGAGTTATAGCCTAAGGCTCAGGGGGACCC